CTTTTAGTTCTTAAAATATTTCTGTCCTCTCTTCCTCAATTATCCCTGAGCTTTGGGGGAAGGGGAGTGTGAGATAGATGGCTCATTTGGAGGTGAGCATTCCACAGTCCCTTATTCTATGCATGTTGATGGGCTCTGATTCTCTGCATTAATCACCTTTTACTGCAAAAAGAAGCTTCTCTGAGGGGTAAGAAATGCACTAATCTATGGCTCTATGGATATAAAAATAAGAACTTAGGTGGCACTTTAATGCTATGTTTATTTAGTAAAGTAAGAGTAGTAGATTCTTCCCTAGGACCTATAAGGTGTACTTGAGTCTTAGGGCATGGAGATATCAAACTGGTACTGACCTGGAAGCCTCATTTCTATTTGCTAGCTTTCATAGTGTTGTAAAGTGCTATGCATGCTACCTGGGGAGAAAATTAATCATCAGTCTCTCCCATCTGTGAACCCTGTGAGCTATAATAATGACTGGCCTGGAAAGATATGCTCACTGGTGCAATAGTGGAATGAATGTTATGGGAGTAATCAGCCATTTTTCTGATTTTATTTAAAGCTCACTCCATGTGCCTGGTACTGTTAACTGGGTCAAAAACCCTTGCAATATACTTTAAAGATAAATCTAGAATGAGTTGTTGAACGGTTTAATGGTTGAAGAAATGGATGTGTTCAGAATGATTCCTGGGTTATTTTACTTGAGTGAATAGCAAGTAGAACTATTTCTAAGACATGGGTTATTGGATGGAGAGATGGTTTGGGAATATGCTTGGAATGTTCTCGAACTCAGCAGTGGACATACTGAGAAGAGTTGTTAAGTAAGGGATTAGATGCAGTTCTGGAGCTGAAAAGAAACCCAGGAATAGAGACCATTATCTTATAGGTTTGTAAAAAAATAGTAGTCATCTCATAGCAGAATTTACTTTTGAACACAAAATAAGTGTATAGGGAATTGTCATTTGTAAGCTCAGGATAACTTTATGTACAAAATTAGTGCCATGAATGTTAATATGGCAGTTATTTCTTAGTTGTATATGATCTCATTGTATTATGACTTAACAATATATTTCAGCTCTTAAAAATAAATGTCATTGAAACAATAGTCAGCAATTTAGACATTTTGTTTTATGCCATTTCCTGATATTCTCAAAACCTATATTTACCTTTATTTGCATAAAATCTAAAGTAATTATTAGAAAGGGCATTATGAACCTGACTTCATGCAGAAACTTTGTATTTTTGAGTGTAATTATTTTTAAAATTTTATTGATTATTTTTATTTTATTTGTATGAATGTATTACCTACATGTATAGAAGTGTACCTATGTCATGCAATGCCTGCTGAGGTTAGAAGAGAGTGCTGGATCCCCTGGAACTGGAGTTATGAGCAGTTTTTGGTGCCATGTGGGTGCTGGGAGTTGAACCCTTGGTACTCTGAAAAAGCAACTAGTGCTCTTAACCACTGAGCCATCTTTCCAGGCCCTAATGTAATTTTTTTTAGCACAGAGATTATATAACCTACTTGGAAAAAATACAAATAAGCACATGTTGGCAATATTTTTTCTGAGGACTGTGCTGTGTATCTTCAGGGGGAAAAATAATTTCAAACTTGGGGCAAGACAGAGATGTAAACTTCCTGAAGACAGGCTTTTGTCTGTTCTTTTAGATTTGCTGTAATTGCAGCATTTAAAGTAGTTCTTTGCACATACTAGTGGATTAATAAATTTTAAGGGATACATTTATTGAATTCTTCTTTCACAGTGTGATTCTTAGAAACTTCTGAAATAATAGAAAAGTTCTCATATTTAAAATAATATTAATACGGGGACTGGAGCTATAGCTCAGTGGTTAAAATCTCTGGATGCTCTTACAGAGGGCCTGGATTCGATTTCCATCACCCTCATGGCAGCTAACAATCACCTGTAAGTCCACTTCCAGGGGGATCTGACGCCCTCTTCTCACCTCCATGGGCATTGCATGGTATTCGTGCACTTATATACACACAAGCAATACACTCATATACATAAAACAAAACTAAAAATATGAAATATATAAAAGAATACTAATATTATGTGTAGATATTATGAGTAGGCATGTATGCATATACACGTATCTCCCTAGGGAGATACAAAGGCTTTTTAAAAGGAATCTTTCTAACCATCTATCTGTGGTTTATCAATGCTAGAGAAGATTTTGGTAAGTTTTTAATTCTTCATGCAATGCCTGCAGAGGACAGAAGAGGCTTTTGGATCCCCTGGAACTGGACTTAGGGACAGTTGTTAGCTGCCATGTGGGTGCTGGGATTCGAACCCGGGTCTTCTGCAAGAGCAGTCAGTTTTCTTAACTGCTGAGCCATCTCTCCATCCCCAAGTTTTTTTATATTTTATTTTACTTGTATGAATGTATTGCCCACATGTATGTTAAGTGCACCCATGTCGTGCAATGCTGGATCCCCTGGAACTGGACTTAGGGACAGTTGTTAGCTGCCATGTGGGTGCTGGGATTCGAACCCGGGTCTTCTGCAAGAGCAGTCAGTTTTCTTAACTGCTGAGCCATCTCTCCATCCCCAAGTTTTTTTATATTTTATTTTACTTGTATGAATGTATTGCCCACATGTATGTTAAGTGCACCCATGTCGTGCAATGCCCAAAGAGGCAGAAGAGGGCATTGGATTCCCTGGAGCTGGAGTTGTGGACTGTTTCTAGCTATTATGTGGCTCTGGAAACTGAAACTGGGTTTTCTGTAAGAGCAGCCAGGACTCTTAACTGATGAGCCATCTCTCCAGCCCCTTGGAAAGTTTCTTGTATTTACTCTGGCCCACTTTAATTTCCATTTCCACTGGTACATCAGGCATCTCACAGATAAGCTAATTTTAGCTCTGATAATACTCAAACTTTCTTGTCATAACAAGGCAAACGAAATAGTGACTTACTGAACAATACATTGTATTTCTCCAGGAATCTGTTTTCCAAGCGATAGATACTCCTCGGTAGACCCTGTATCACAAGAGATTTCTGTAATAGGATAATCCATAAATGAAATTAAGAAAACTAAAATATTTTAAATGATTGTGTCATCATGTAACAGAAATGCAAAAATTATCTAACAAAAATGCATTTTTTGAGTTTTTATGGGATATTTTAAAATTAGAAAATGTATCAATGATCTTAAAAATTAGAGGCACATAACAGCAGTGGGCAGATATAAAGGTGAAGGTGATTTAGTTTCTTTCTGTTCAGGAAACATTTGTAGAATTTCTACTGTGAAAACGAGCTTAGATTAATATACTTAAATAAACATATACTTAAATAACCCTAGGTGCATTGGGTAAAAAGATAAGAAGACTTGCTCTCTGCCACGCAATGTTTTTCACTTTATAGCATTGTATGCCGAGGTTAGTGTTCTCTGTGTGTATGCGTGGGGGATTTGAGTACTTAATAGGATCAACATCCGTGCGATGTTAGTGCAATATGGCAGGATATGACAGAATGGCGGCACCTTGGAGGGAGATATCACAAATCTAGGGACGGGATGAAAGGAGAATCATATCGAAGCTGAGCCAAATTTTTTCAGAAAATATTAACCCTAAACCTAGTTTGGTGGTACATGTCTCTAATCCCAGTAGTAGTAAGGCTAAGCATTAGAAACCAGCCTGGGTTACATTAATGAGACCTTGTCTCAAAAAAAAAAAAAAAATCATCCCCTAAAATTTTAGTTGTTTTGCCTCAGAGGTTCATTTTTGTCTTTATTATTAAATTATACATGAAATTGTGCATATTTATGTGATACCATGAGGTGTCTGATACATGTATACCCTGTATAATGTTTAAATCAGATTAAGTACAGCTCCTTCTTGTTATTAGGCTTAAATGCTAGCTAGAGAGTGTGGGAAGATCATTTTATGCGGAAGGAAAATCTGGTGTGAGCAGGTCACCAAGACTGAATAAGAAAACAATGGACAGAGCCCTGTAAACTGCCGAGATAGGAGGTACAAGAGAAGGTCCCACTGCAGCAACTGTATTTGAATTATTTTGAAAATCTCGTAAAATAACAACACAAAGAATTTTTGAGATTAAAAATATTTCCTTTACTAAAATGCACAGCTACTCTTCCCCCCGCCCCGACCCCCCCCCTCTTTTTTGCTTTGGTGTTAGCAGACCGGAAAGCCCTTTAAATAATGAGTACAAAGTGACGGATCTTAAAAATACTCATGAGAGCTATGTTAGCTGCTTGGCATGGAAAACCTTAAGCTCCAGCATCAGATACTACCACTTGGATATAAAGGGCATTTTAATATAATCATTGCTGCAGCAGCTTGATAGGAGAAAGTCATATGGATCGTCTTATTTCTTTTTCAGAAAATCAGATTCTGAAATTAAAAAGGAAAAGCTTAGTAAGACCAGTGTTCTTTAGTATCCTTTTACAGTTTTCCTCCGATAAAACAAGGTTAATTTTGAAACATATATAGCTAGTGATCGTTTGTACTAACTAGAAAACCAACGGAGTTCTCTGCAGGCGAAGGATTTTTGCTTTGTTTTGTTTTGACTGTGAAAGCAGAGACGAAAAAGACACAGAATACAGATGAACAGTATTGGTGTGATGTGAAAAACCTCGTCTCAGGTTCCAAATGAAAAGAGATACGCTAGGGCAGACAGTTTTCCAGGTTTGAATGAGACACTCCTTTGTTCTGAGCAAGCCCCTTTCAATTTCACTCCGCCCTAAGCGTCTCCTACCAATTTTGCTCCCTAATTGTCAATGGGTTCATTTCTTCCCTCATTCCTCCCAGTCCGAGGAGTATCATACGTATGTTTCTTTCCTATCTCTGTCCTTCAGGCCAAGTAAGCTACTGTACGCAAGCCTGGAAAATGAATCCAGCTTTTATCACTCGCGTGAACTTTTCAAGTACAATATCGTCGTCTACCCGCCTAGAACCACAATACCCAGAATGCACCCTTTTTCCTTCCGCCTTCTGCCAGGGGAATGCCTAAAGATCTCATTTCCACAAGCAGCAGTCACATGACACGTTTCCTGTCAAGATGGCGGATAATCTCCCTTCGGAGTTTGATGTGATCGTAATAGGGACGGGTATGTGTGGCTCCGGTTTTCCCCTGCCAAAGTATAGGAAGTCATTCTTGTTCTTTCCTTTTCCTGTCGGTGTCATGGGTTGGCGAGAAATGCCTGGGGTCGAGGCTGGGAGGGAGGACGGAGAGGAAGCGAGGTTGTCTGGAGTCAGCACGGGATTTGGCAGCTCCAGGGAGGGGCTTGGACCCGCGGTGTTTAGCGCCATTTGAGTAGGGGGTCGATTTGGTCGATGCCGATTGCTGAGGTTGGTTGCTGCGGTGATTCTTCTTAATTTCCTTAGAGGCGGGTGGGTTTGCAGTGTCATGAGACTGTAGGATCGGGATTTGATCAATGGAGATGCCTTTGGCATAGCATTATAATTCCTTCTTTATTTCAAGGTGATGTTCCCCATCGGTTTTTGTGTCGCCATTTCATTGGACTTTTTTCATATACTTAAATAATCCTAGGCTACGATGCAGATTAGTTTTACAAGAAAGATGCTCAGTTGTAACCCGTGTGTATATTTACTAAGGGAAAGGAAATGGATTCTTTTCTGTTGTGTTGAGTAGCCTAAAGAATTTTATTTTGTTGAGGAAGCCATTATCCCTCCTTTATGATGTTAAAAGCATCCTTGTTTATGTGTAAAGAGAAAACATCTTACTTTCTGTTACCCATCTGTACACAAGTAAATGTGCTGAGTATAAATGACCTTATCTTCTCCTAGTTTTCCCATCATTTGTTCTCCATGTTTTGGGTGGAGCCAGAAATTCCCTTCAATTTCTAGTTGACTAGTTAATCCTATTAACACAGGGCAGAAGGTATTTGGCATCAATTAGCATTTTGTTTTCCTAACAGTATATAATTGTTTTTTGGATAGGGTGAAAAAGATTGTTGAGTGGATATTTCTCCTGTCTATAGAATGTGGTAGGCCACAGAACAGAAACTCTGGTGGATGGGACCCAGTTTGTTGTGTAATGAATTCAGTTTGCTTTCTTCCCAATCAGTAAGAGCAGCCATATTTCCAGGGTTGGAGTAAAAATAATAGTAACCTGTTTTGGGGTGCTTATTGTTTTCTAATCAATGGACTAAGCACTTAACAGTCCCCACAACAGCCTTGCTGGAATAGATATTCTCGTCATTACACAGAAGAGAAGGGGGTATAGAAGTCTTAACTTGCCAAAGATCACACAGCTGGTATATGTCCAAAGGCCCATTTCATCCTATCCCAAAAAGCCAATCAGTTGTTCTGACCCTCCGAATTATGCCATATTGGTTGAAATAACTGGGGAAACTTGGCTAGATCCTATGTGGCCATTAACCACCTGTTTGAATGGGGAGAGCCAGACCTTAGTCTCTCAAAGTCTAAATTTTCTTACTTTTGAATATAGGGAGGGTAAATTAGATAGCTTTGAAGTTATTATCTAACCAAAAATTCTAGTATTCTAGATGTACTTGGGCAATTGTTCTCAGAACAATAAGGGCATGTTTATTCCCAGCCTTAAGATAACTGCATGCGGCACACAACCTGTTGTAACTACAATGAACAGATGTTGCATGAGAGCTTGAAAGACCCAATAGGCCATTCATTGTTTTTTTCCAGTCTGCCCTAAAACTGAGAACAACATCCATTTTGGAATAAATCCATTTGAAGTGTACTTGAGTTCTATATTCTTGCCTTTCTTTTTCATTGCCTGGAAATTTTGTGTATTAAAAATTCAATCTAGAGACTTTTTCTTATCTGGATTCAGATTTCAATTGATGTATGTTAATTCTAATTTTTATTGAATGCTATTAATTCTTATAATAAATATTTCGTGTTCTGATGTTCAAAATGATGAATACATTCATCCTGTTGGAGTCTGTTCTGGTAGGATACTATGAGTGATTCAGATACTTGTATAAGGAAGCATCTCTTACATTTGGAAAAACAGATTCCATTTTCTGTTATTGTGAGTATGATTATTAGTTCTCATTGTATGAAAATTCAGAAATTTTTCTTCTTAATTAATGTGACAAATTCAGGGTTTTTAATCAATCACGTTGTTTAAATTTACAATAGGAAACTTTTTAGATACATCAAAACTGGTAAGATCAAATGAAACTCAGTTTTCAAACAAAGTGATCCTTTATAGTTTCAATCATTGATTTTAATCGAACTTATATTTAAAGTATTTTCCTTTTGAAAAAGTTTGCTGAGAATAGCCTTTAAATGTGTATATTAAATTAGCACTTAAGGAACTTATACGAAAAGCAGTGTTTCATAGCTTTACTTCTGTTAACAAAAGCAGAACTAAGCATGCATGTATTAGAAACAGTAAAGACCAAGGCTGTGAGATAAAGTTCTGTTTCAGCAAATTTTGTAGGTATAATGTCAAAAGAAAGTTGCTTCACTAAATAGAATCGTCTGAGAGTATTTAAAAATTCCTTCTACCTTAACTAATTTGTAATTTTATTTTCTGTAGGATTTGGTCCACTAGGTCATATTTGTGAGATATTATGGGAAAATAATATAAAAATACCCAATGGAAGAGGATTAAGATATAGCACTTAAACTGTGAGGGCAAAAATAGAAGAAAATGGATTAAAAACAGAAGATCAATTTGAATCTCAATGGAGAGGACAAAAGCGGACATAAAAATGATTAGAAAATAATCATCTGCTTGACTCCACAATTGCGGTTTGCTGAATTGTTTGCCTTTTATACAGTAATTTAATGATAATTTTGTGGGTTATAAAAAAGTATCATTGTCTGCAGCTTAAAATCATCCCAGTACCATAATTTGTTACTTGAGTTGACTTTTTATCTGACAATTGGTATAATATCCAGCAGAGCCAAGAAGTCACAGAAGTGCAGAAGAAATCTAAACTCTAAATGCTATATGCTAATATTGACATGCATCACACATAGGGGCATCCTTCAGCTCTTCACTTAAATATATTTCCATTTTAGAAATAATTCTAGTGTGCTTAGAATATATTAGAACCATCTTATTTGAAGGCATAGTGACATCAGCTGTGATATCAGTATGTTTGGGTAGTGCTACTAGATGAGTAAGTGACAATTCATATCTAAATAGGGAAGGGGATGGGATATATGTGAAATGACATTATGGCTTGACACCATTTAGTGTTAATATACACATACAAAGAAAACCACAGCAAAATCCCCCAACCATTTTTTCATGGCACTCAACAGCTATTGAGAACCTAAACCCTTGCCCTTGTGAAGTTTACTGTATTGCCTTTTATCGGGAACTTTTTGGACCTCCTCATAGTCATATCTCCAAAGCTTTTCTTAAAAGATTGGAAGTTTTTCATTTGATAGGTTTTGCTTTCTGAAGACTATCCAGAAATTCAATCTGCACCCCTTTCCCTTTTAAGCACACTTAGGGAGTTCCTCCCCTAAGATAGACTCTATAGTAGGCTAGCTTGTTTATTTTCAAGCATATTTTTCCCTCCCTCTCTCCCTGACGTCCTCCATTCTTATACTGCTCTTTGAACCTGGGCCCGTGCACATGCTAGGTAAGCACTTTACCGTGGACCATATCCCCAGCCCCTCTCAAATCCATCCTTAAGAGCTGTGTAGCTTAAGATTGTCCAAGGTAAGGAACTACCACTGTGTGTATCTAAAATGATCCTGTATTCTCTGTAGTCCTTTAAAAAAGTTAAATCAGTGTTCAATATACAGTAATAGTTTAAAAAAATGGTAAACTGCTTTTCTCAGGAAAGTTTATGTGGGTAGCACAGCCCCAATTCTTGATGCTTTTGTCTGAAAGAACCTTGGCTGGCAGCTCACTCAAGGAAATAATCCTTGTGATAACAGTAGAATATCTAATCTAAACCATGGGGGATAATAATTCCTCAGCAAGTGTTGTAAAATCTGGTATTTACCAAATACCACTTACACCAGACTCAACGTAAGTGATTTCCCATTGCACATCTCAGTTACTACCTCTAGGAGGCCTGTGTGTGGCTTTCATCACAGGGTGCACATATCCCCTTCCTGTTGTTTCTAAACAGCCTGATAGTCTCAAGAGCTGTTTTGTTTTAACAGCAAGTTGCCACTTCTTTGTAGGTCGTGGGATGGATTCTAGCCCTTAAACAAATGGAGTATAACATGATACGTGTAATAGAGATGAATGTGTTTTCTTTTTACACACACTCTTTAGGGGGTGGCCAAAAATTTCTATGTCTAGAGAAGATTACGCAACTGAACAACATACTAAGTATGATTAAAATGGTATTTCAAAAGCTCTTTAGTTTCACAGATGTTACACATTCCATATATTTTGCATGCGTTGACATACATGTATCCCATTTGAACAGTATAATATGGTGATTGATTATGTGGCTCTGGAATCATACAAACTGAATATGAATCTCAAATGTGCTTGAGCTTCTTGTGCTGTCTTACGTTCATCAACCTTTTTTTTTTTTTTTTTAATTTTCACTACTCTGCTTGAGTGGTCCAATTCTTCAACTGTATCCTCCAGTGCTGATATTCTCTTTTCCATTTCATTCATTCTAGCGCTGAGGCTTTCCCCTGTTGTTTCAAGTTGGCTTATTGAGTTTTGCACTTCTTCATTTCTGAAGTTTCAGAAAGCTCTGTTAGGGACTGAAGACATAATTCCTATCAATTGTTTAGTATGTGCTTAGAAAATGTAGTTTATTTTTTATTGGCCCATAAAGCTATACTAAGGTGCTTTTATTGTCATTACAATGACTTGGTTTCAAGGAAGAGCTCATGATTTCCATGGTAAGTAGTAGAAGGATTCAGTGTCAGATGGGGAAGGAAACACCTTTGTGTATTACCACTGTTTTTGATCAGAATTCTGATGTGGTGGTTTACAAATGTTCCTCCTTTTGTTGAGTTTGGTTTACCAGCTTGCATTATTTATCATTTGTTTCAAACAGATTTAGCATTCATTTTATTTTTGGCATAGTGTGAAGTAGTTTGTCAGGGTAAGAAATCCTACAGTTTGCTGTTTTGTAAGCTATTTTGTATTTCTTCGGATATTTTTTTA